TAGTTAAGTATGAATAAAAAAGCAGTTTTACATTATTTGCAAAATATTTCCTTTCCATTGGTGCTTTTGGAAAATGGTTAATCTTTAAATGCAGCAAAAATATCTCCTCAGTACAAAAATTMTTTTGGGCATAGCGGACAAACAAGAAGTAAAAATTTTGCATTTGACTTATCGTTAATATTATAGTCATAGGCAATTTTTTCATCGAAACCAACTGTAAAAAATTAAAACAAAAAAATAAAATTTTATTTCGTTAAGTATTGACCTCTTATTGCATTTATAACGGTAGATAAAAAGGCTAGGATCACCTGCTATCTCACCTAATACACCCTAATCTTTAACAAAATCTACTAACCTTAAAAGTGCATTGGCAAAAAAATAGCAGCTGCGAATATAAATATTCGTGATATGGGCGATAAAGGTAATATTTTTTGTTGTTCATTCCTATATTAAATGTTTAACGTGTAGTTATGTATATTATAATAATTTTGTTACGTCAGCATAGACCGTCAAACTGAATCTCCAAATCAGCATTGGAACTATTGACTGGCAACATCTAGCAGCATTTAGGTTGAAACTCAACAGTTAAAAACGTCCTATAGCAACGGCCAACGGCATAGCTGCCTTGCTGCCGGATTGCAATGCAACCCAGCGGTAAATTTTCAAACTTACCTGCCGGACGGCCGTTATTTGTACTTGTTCTCAAAAACACTAAGGGATGATAGTAAAGGTAACGAGGGATGCAGTCATACCATTTTCATGACTCTAMGTCAAAACCCTGATTTTATACGATTTTTATAATTGAAAAAAATCCTAAGTCTTAAGACGGCCGTGCAGCAGATAATTCCGACTCCGATTCCGACTCCCCCCGCGCTCGCTATACTTCCCCGCCCAAAAACTTCCGAGATATTCATTTCCACAAAAATTTGAAAGTGGAAAACTGATCAGTGGCACGTGCACTACAGAATTATAGTGTTAAATTGWAAAGYATCGAAAGGAAAATGACCACTGGAAACGACCAATTTACGCAAGAAGCACACCTGTGCATATTTGACAACAGCAATCAAGGCAGCATCTAACTCCGACTGTTGCATAAAACCAGAATGGACCTCCTTTTTTTGACATCTGAACACGAAACAACGTAGTCGAGCTACTACTCGAATCATGTTATCAAACGAAGAAAATCGAGCAAACCATTCAGAGGCAGATTGAACTTGTGTCAGCAAACACACCTGCTTGTCTTCCGGTAGCTGATCTAAAGCTAGATTCACGGCATCCTTTGGCCTACTTTCAACTGATGTTGCTAAAAACGCAGGTCCTTTCCAGTAAATAGCTGACTTCATAAGATATGAAGGACAAAACCCATGAACAACAATCAGCTGGATTTTYGTCTGAGCTGACATGAAACCACTGACCATCGGGAACTGTTGTCTTGATCTGATGAACTCTGTTTGACACAAATGTCTTGAACGACGAGTGAGGGTTACTCAACCACGCGAGCACAATGGTTGAATCCGACCACGCAAACACTTCATTGATCACCAACTGGTTCTCCAAGATTCGTTTCAATCTGCACAGCCACAGCAGTGCTCCGCAAAGTTCTAGTCACGGGATAGTCACGGTCTTCATTGGAGCTAACTTGGTCTTAGACCCAATAAGATATACATGCGTACCTCCTGACGGATCAGTAACACGAAGGTAAGCAACAGCAGCATATCCTTTTCCTGAWGCGTCACAGAAACCACACAACTCATAACTGCATCCGGCAGAGCAACCGATGTAGCGAGGGATCTTGATTCCCGTGAGCCACCCTAGCAAGTGATAAAAATCAGTCCACTCTTCAGCTAAATCTGACAGAAGCTGATCATCCCATCCGATGTGTGCGAGCCACACACGCTGCATAATCGCCTTAGCATAAAAGATCGACGGGGCGAGCAAGCCTAGTGGATCAAAGATCCTAGCAATCATAGATAGTACACCGCGATTAGTTAAAATCATTTTAAAGTTGTTGGTGCTGAATGAGAGGTAGTCTTTTTCATGATTCCACCGCATACCTAGCACCTGTGATGCGTCGTCCTGGTCGAAGTTCAAGGGAGCTCTTGAACAATCTTCAGCTGGTAGATGAGACCGTAAATCCGGATTATTGCTGGCCCACTTCTTCAGTTGTAAGCCGGATCTGTCGAACGTCTTAATTAAGTAGGACTGGAGCATTTTAGCAGCCTTCAACGAATMTGTACCAACACAGATGTCGTCCATGTATGTTTGGTTGTACAATACGGCCTTGACGTCTGGAAGAGCTTCGCAGTCGTTATCAGCAATAAACCGAAGAACTCGTAAGGCGAGATAGGGAGCACTATTCACCCCGTAAGTAACGGTATTAAGGTATACTGTTTCACCGACACCTGCGGCGAATCCCTCCAAAGGATATACTGGTATCCCCGGWATTGCGGTAAAACTTCGATCTGCCGATACATCTTGCATATATCCGTAGTGAATGCAACCTTATGCATCAGAAATCCGACCAAGACATCAACAATATCTTGTTGCAACTTCGGACCAATCAACAAACACTGATTGAGAGAGATCCCGGAATGACATTTGGCGGACGCATCAAAGACCATGCGCAGCTTGAGTTCATCCCCCTCGACCTTCTGCACGGCATGATGAGGGATAAAGTACTTTGGCCTTCAGCGCGAGACATGTGACCTAGCTCCTCGTATTCTGTCATAAACTTACAATAAGCTCTATGCAAGATCTTATCCGCAGACAACTTCCTTTCAATATTTAAGAAACGGTTAAGAGCGACCTGTCGAGAACCCGGAAAAGCTTCTGCTGATCGACCCGAGCGAAAAGGAAGAGGGACAGAAAACCGACCACTAGAGTCTCAGACCATCTCGGAGCGGAACAGCTCTTCACATTGACAATTTTCAGTAAATTTTCAGAGGCGGAGCAGTCTCAGGTTCTTCAACCAACCAGAACTTCTCGATCATAGTCTCCATCGACGACTCT